TAATTTATTGAAGGATTAACAATGTAATTAATTCTTTGATATCCAATGAACTCTAGTTTATGATTCACCTCGACTGTAAAACCGTGAAAGCGATAATATTTTCAAAACTTTTGATTAAACATTTTTCGAAACTCTTTTAATTGATATTTTCAGAACTTTGAAAATAAAAGAGAAAGAAAAACTTTTTTTTCAAACAAGACAATCTCTCTAGAGTGGATCTTGGTAAATGACATGTGGCTCTCAGACACAAAACTCATGCTTAGAATCAATGCTGAAGCAAGAAATGAGGAACAATGAGGGCATCTTTGAAGATTCAATATCGAATATTGGGGCATCTTTGGGGATTCAACATCCTGATGTGAATTATCAGATCTTCTGAAGGCTTTTTCCTCAACATGCAGGAACAAACAGACAAAGAATGAGGCTCCATTTGAGAGACAAAACAAGAACTAATTCATGTTGCATGCATCTTAGACTTACTTAAGAGCATCATATTCATCATTTTTACATACATAATCTCTTGCAGCTTTTAGAGTCAATTTCAACTTCACAGCGAAGGATATTGGACTCAACAAACAATTTTCCAACTTTTAGAGTCAATTTCAACTTCACAGCGAAATATATTGAACTCGAAAGAGATGCAATTTACAAGTGTGAATTTTAACTTCACAACGAATCCAATTAAAAGCTCAATTTCACAATGAATGAGCAATCCATGATTTCAACTTCACGAAAAAGGATATCGTGCCAGATAAAGTGATTTAGCGTCACATCAAGCATGTCATCCACAGATTTGACTTCCTTAAGTCAATGATTAGAGCTTCTGAAAGGATTTCTTTAACATGCAGAAACAAGCAGATTATCGATCGCCTTTGAGATTGTTTCTCTCGAAACAAGGGGTCGTCTCGCTTGAGACTAATTTACTCAAAACAAAGTTTTGTCTCTCTTGAGACAGTTTCTCTTGAAACAAATTTTGTCTCTCTTGAGACAGTTTCACTTGAAACAAATTTTATCTCTATTGAGACAATTTCCCTTGAAATAAATTTTGTCTCTCTTGAGTCAGTTTCTCTTTAAACAAATTTTGTCTCTCTTGAGACAGTTTCCCTTGAAACAAATTTTGTCTCTCTCTTGAGACGGTTTCCCTCGAAACAAAGTATTTGAATATGTTTTCCTTGAAACAAATTTCGTCTCCCTTGAGACAGTTTCCCTTGAAACAAATTTTGTCTCTCATGATACAATTTCCCTTGAAACAAAATCTTTGAATATGTTTTCCTTGAAACAAATTTCGTATCCCTTGAGACAGTTTCTTTTGGAACTAAGTTTTGTCTCTCTTGAAACAAATTTTGTCTCTCTTGAGACAGTTTCCCTTGAAACAAAATTTTGTCTCTCTTGAGACAATTTCTCTTGAAACACCAACCTTTGAATATGTTTCTCTTGAAACAAAATTTTACCTCTCTGGAGACATTTTTTATTGAAACACAAAAAACCCTTTGAAATTGTTTCTCTTGAAACACAAAAAACCTTTAAAAATGTTTCTCTTGAAACACAAAGACCTTTGAGTTCGACTACGCTCAGCTCCAAGGCACATCATTTGCAGCATAACTTAAGTTGAGAAGGGCTATCTGCCTTCCAAACACATTCGAGTTCGATTACATTCAGCTCAGAGGCAAATAAAACTTACAACATAGCTAGAGGCAAGAAGGACTATCTGTCAACAAAATTGTTGAGATCGATTCCATTCAGCTCGATGACACATCAATCGCACTATTTTCTGGTTGCAGTCGAGGTTTTCAAGTCGAGAAGATGATCTGGATTAGCCGTGCCTTAGTGACAAAGAACTGTTTTCCGACAGCATAGCTTAAGTCGAAAAAAGCTATCTGTCAACGAAGACCTTTTGAGTTCAATTTCGTTCAGCTCAAGGGCCTATCAACCACATGGTGGAGTCAATGAACTACTTTCCAGAAGACCGAAGTTGACTACAATTTGGAAACGAGAAGTCACATTCCGATTTCAAATTTTGAACTACTGTTTCAATTCCATATCATTTCAAGATGGACTCGACTTCGCAACGGAGGAGCCATCCACAACCCAATTCGATAGGGAGTTGTTCTTCAACTCCACCAAACGAAAATTCGTGTCTTTTTATCTTTGTCCTATTTTTCGTTCCACGAAAAAGGACAAAGATGGGCAGCTGTAGACACTAATTTTTTACTTCCCAGTCAAAACCTCGTTTTTTCCATCATTCAACAAACAACAGCAGGAACCGCCAACCGAGTTCCACGATCAACATGAAGAATCCTCACCCCTCACCCTCCCTCCACATCACCGGAATCCTCGCCAACAACCAACAAACCACAAGCAAAGCAAGAATTTCAGTCTTAACGGGAGTCTAAAACTGGATTAACACTATAAATACACATGCAAGACGAGGTAAAGGGGGGAAAGCATTTGGTGTAAGAAAAAGCAAATAACATAGGGGGAAACCATCTTTCTCGTAGTACCGATATTTATGGAAAGGGGTTTTAAAAGCTTGAAGGCTAAGCCCGTTTAGCTCCGTGTTTGGTGAAACAATGGCAACAGAACTAAACCATCAACCTTACCCTTTCTCTTTATAAACCATTTACTAAACCCCATCAATTCGGCATCTTCTTCGATCTACTTCTCAAATTCCTCAACAAGCTCCCAGATTATGCCCGTGTACGTGATCAAACGCATTCTCGGTGCTTTTCCATCTTTAAGGTTAAAAGAAAGTTAGTCGGTTTACACTTGGCATGCCGTCGCTTCTTTGAATGGTAAAATGAAAAGGGGCAGAGGAATCGATGACTATGAACAAGTACCATTTCAGTCAGGACCACCCGTGGACAGGTATGGTTTTATAAAGCAGAATGTTAGTAATAGTAGCGTTGTGGAAGGTTTAGTAAAGTGTAGGGAAGCTATAAGTGTAAGAAAATGGAAGAGAAAGATGCTCCCAATCGCACAAAGGTTCAAGCAATTTGAGTGAAAATTAAGCAAATCCCACGTGAAAGGTGAAAGTGGACTTTGGGGTAAAATCTCCCTATGGTCCTTCAAATATTACGGGTGAATTCCAATTTTAGTCCATTTAGTTTGTTCTCTTTACGTTTTAGTCACTGAATCTAATTCACAATATCTTAATTTGGATTTCGAATTTAATATGTTTTCGTTTTAGTCCCTAATTTATTTTTTAATCGAAAATGACCGAGGAATTTCTGCATGTTTTAATTTAGTCACTATTTTCTTTTCTTACTTTTTTTATTTAGCCAACGCTATTTTAATTTTGGCATTTTGATCATTTTTTATTTATTTATTTTTTCTATTTTTTTAATATTTTTATTTTTGCATTTTCCTTTTTTTATTTGGTATTTTATTTTGTTTCTTCATTTATTTATTTATTTATTTATTTATTTATTTTAATATTTATTTTTTATCTCTATTTATCCATTTTATTTTTTTATTATTATTATATTAATTTTTTTCTATTATTAGTTTTTTATTTTACAATTTGACAATATTCTTGGCTCTTTTTAGGAGAATTTTTTGATCAAAAATAAGTAATTCGAATCGGGTTTTTTAAATTTAAATTTTTTATTTTTTCGCAATTAAAGACAACCGGTAAATTAATTGGTACCAAAAGGACGGTTCAAGGGTGTTAATCCTTCATTGACCGTAATCGACTCCCGAACGCGACACGTTTATAGTAAAACGAAGATCAGGTAAGATGGTGTCCAACCTACCTAAATGTTTTTAAAATGATCGGTGACAACTCTAACCCAATTAATCACGTCGAAGCCCAATTCCGAGGCCCACCCGAAAGACGGCCGCGACAGATGTATTGTTAATTTATTGTATTTTTATTATAAGAAAATAAATAACCTAAATATCTATAATATAAAGAATATGTGTATTTTTGGTATAATTTGTTCTTCTATTATTATTAATGTTATTTTTATCCGGATGAAAATTTTTAGAACTCCAAAACTTGAAGTTTAATATTATTTCTGTTTATTTAAAAAGTTATTTTTCATCGATTTGTTACCTTTAACAAATATTAGCTCAGCATCATTATTCATATACATATATTTTTTAAATTTCTCACAAGTTAATTTCGTATTTTTTTAAAATTTCTCAAAAGTTAATCAATGAAATTGTTATATATCTTTTCAATTTCTCAAAAGTAAATTAATGAAATTGTCACTTATAAGGATATAATATAACTTTGACGCACCAATTCACTTCAGTAGTGTTATTTCTAGATATTTTTCGGTTTAAAAATCAACGACTACGACAGAATATTTAAATATTTAAACATTTCGGTTTAAAATTCAACGACGACAGGAAATTTAATATCTTTTGATCATCCTAAATTAATAAAAAAAATATAATTTGTAAGAAATTTGAGGGTTTTGAAAAATAATTTTACCAATTGTATTAGTTTAAAATTCTCAAATACAAAAGATGAGATTTACCATGTGTGGAAGGACTTGACCTAGTTTACTTATCCACAATCCGAATTTATTTTTCGTTATTTATAATAGTTTCGTACTTTCGTCCTTTGAAAAATTTTTAAATTATAAAATAAAATTTAAATAACTTTTTTTTCTGAATAAAAAAAGTTAAATAACTTACAACTTCTAATAATTAATAAATTAAGTATCTTTACGTGATATAAAATTAATCAGTATTATAATATTATAAATATTAATAATTAAATTCAAATAACTCAAATCAAATTTTATAGATCCAAACTCTGTAATATAAAATTATTATTATTATTATTATTATTTAGTAAGGTTAGAATGAAAACTCATCACAAGTGGACAAGAAAGAAGAACCGCTTATTACAGTCAAATGAGTATCTGACAGAAACAGACAGCTACATCCCTCATCTTCTTACGCTGCTTTTAAATTTATAACATTTTCATTGAACACATTCAAGATTGGTTTAATGGCCACTTGATCCTAAATCAATCTCAAAGTAGCAGAAACTGAAATTAAGAAGCCGCCGCACCGGTCAGCTGCGCCGCCCTATCCGTCATCTCCCTAGCCTTGATAGCCAACCTCATCCCTGCGCTGTCCAACTGATCCGCCGCCGGTGGGTGCCTCCCGGTCACATACCTGTATATATAATAGTAGCCATTGAAAAAATCCAAAACATTAAAGAAAACATTTAACGATAGAATTAAAAAAAGAATAAACTGTTTATTTAGTTCCCTCGAGATTTTTTTCATTTTTTTTAAAATCACACTTAAAATTATATTTTACTTTTGTTTTGAATATTTATGGTTAAAATTAATGTGTTATCATAAAATAATACGATACTATCATTAAAAAAATATTAATATGGTGTCTTTGTTAATCTTTTACTGATGTACGACTTAAAAAAACTAAAAAATAACTTTAATATAAAAAAAAATAATTGAATGACTACATCTAACCGGCGAGAATAGGTAGGTGTCTTAATACTCTAAAAATTGCACCTGTAAATCCACGACAGCACAGTAACCGCTGCAACACCGAAGCCGCCGGAAGTGACGAAACCCGTCACTATGAGAGCTGTAGTAAGGAGAGCAGGGACAAGAACGGGACTGAAAATGACGAAGAGTGGAGTGGCTATGGCGAGTGCAATAACGGTGCCAGCCAGGGTCAAACTGGAGAGGACGAGGAAGGAGCCACCGGCGGTGGCAGCGGTGACGGCTTTCACCATCTGGTGAGTCATTGGTTGAGTGGTATGAAGGTGGTTTTCTGCCATGGATTACAAAGATGAAAGAAACTGCAGCTATGTAAAGAGGTGGGTTGGAAAGAGAGAGAAAGGTGGGTTATATAGAGGGAGAAGAAGGGGCACGTGGTGAGGTTGCTTTTCATGCAGGGGCTGCATGTCGTAGAGTGGCTTAGTTTTAGGACACGTGGAAGATGGCCTCTTATTTAATATTTTTATATCATTTCTTTAATTGATAATTCGTTCTTTTTAATTTAAACGAAAAATCACGTAATGAATTTTTATATCATTTCTTTAATTGATAATTCGTTCTTTTTAATTTAAACGAAAAATCACGTAATGATTTATTCTTTATGGATTCAGACAGAAAATCATGTATTATTCATACCTTTTCATTGTAAGACATTTCATTCAGAGACCGTCAACTCTTAGTCTTATATTCTACGATTTATAAGTCTAAAATTGGGGTTAGCATCCATGTATTTTAATGGACTCTTTCACTGTAATATGACTGAATACTTCACGACCCAAACCTCAACAAAATTAAACTCCAATGTCCAGCTCCTACTCAGACTATTAACAACACAACAAGACTGTAAACCTTTATAATCAAACCCTAACATAAACCTCTAATTGTTGCTCTTTCTCTAGCCCTAATAAACCCCAACTTTACTTTAAAAACTTGAATAAAATTGGGTGTCTCTAGTTACCCATATTTACTTAATTATTGTTGTGACACGAGAATATCGGTAGTATTATATCTTGGTTTTATTATTTATTTAATTATTTATTTATCTATGTTATTGTTCTTTTTAAAATTGTTATACAAACATTGTTCATCACGTCATTCATGGTCCTAAATAATAAGATTTATTCATTTTAAAACAACTTTCAAATAGATATTCACTCTTTATCTATATGTAGGAAAAAAATGACGAATTATCTTAAAAAAATGATATCGATGGATCTTATTAACTAGGATAATATGGATGACATGATGAGTCAAGTATTTACCTAATAATTTTTTTCTCAAAAAGATATGATTTCGTTTATTGATTTGTTCTACTCCATTTTGGGGAGAAACAATTTTCTCTTGTTGATTCGTTCCATACTTTTCGAGGAGATAAGACTTTGTTTGTTGATCTTTTTTATATTTGTTGAGGAGAAAGACTTTGCTTGTTGATCCACTACACACTTTTTGAAGAGATAAAGGCTTCTTGTTTAGAGTATATTTAAGGTTCAATCGTTAGATAGTTATAATCACATACTTATTTTATCTCATTTATTAAATAAAGACATTAACATTATTATTTCAACTTCTTTGATTGTGTTTATAAATAAAGTAAATTAAAATAAAGTCTAAAGATATGATATTTCTTAAAAAAAATTAGTCTAAGTATCATTGTGAACATAGACAAGAATAATGCATTAAAATTAATGTGTAATTGCACTACAACAAAACTGTTCTACAGCGGCGTTTTTAGTGACGTTTTAGGAGTAAACGCCACTAATTTTAAACATATAGCGGCGTTTACATACTAAACACTATAAAATGGTAGTTTTAGTGGTGTTTTTATAAAAACGCCGCGATAGGGTATCACTTTAGCGGCGTTTTTATACAAACTCCGCAATAGGTTCATCTATAGTGGCGTTTTTCCAACAAACGACGCAATGTGAGTAGTACTTTAGCGGCGTTTCAGTACAAACGCCGCAATAGGTTCATCCATAGTGGCATTTTTCAACAAACGCCGCAACATAATAGTACTTTAGTGGCGTTTGTAACTATAAACGCCGTAATAGTAGTACTTTAGTGGCGTTTGAAATTGAAAACGCTGCAAAGTTTGTATTTTTATCTCCTAAAACCCTAGCCCTTTTTCATCTTATTTTCTTTCTGGTTTTCCTTTACTTCCTTTATGCCGTTTACCCCAAACCCATAAATTAATTTTTGTCGATCTTAGTCCTTCTTTGGTTGCTTCGTCGATCTCGTAAATTCCTTTCTCCAAATCTGTTGCTTCGTTACTTTGCCCATATGCTTCGTTGCTTCGCTGTTTCACTTTGTTGGACCTCAAACCCATCTGCTTCACTGCTATACATGAAATAACAGGTAGAGAATCATTTTCGAGGTAACAAAAAAGGTTACTTTTTACCCTTTTATCTTGTATTTCATGTCGTTGTCAAACCAGAGACAAAAGGGCGTTACCTTTTATGACTTTTTTCTTTACAAATTGCAAAGCTTTGTTATTTTGGGGTGCAAAAAAAGTTTCTTACAGCAAAAAGTGGCCTTTGATTGCGCACTTGAGATGAAAAATGATTCATCTTTTTCATTTTTTTTTCTAGGAAACTTTGTGTTTGTCATTATTATATTCATTCGACCTATCTCTAATGATGACAAGGGTTGAATTGGATGGAGGTGCATGAGTTTACTGCAATCATTTGGTGCCCATTTTTCCTTTGGTTAAAAGGAATGTGAAAAATCTAATCCTTTTGTTCATGATTCTCTCATGAGATTAAGGAAGCGTCACCAATGCTTTCCTTTTTGCTCTTCTCTTCACAGAGTAATTACAAGTGTATTACTTACACATATCTGTTAGCTTAATATGTTTTTTCATTAATCTTAATCATGTAAAACTCTTCCATTTCTGCGTTGAATGATTATGTCTCTTGTTCGGAGTGAATGCATTTACATTATATAATGAATATTTAAGAGCTTAGTTACAAAGTTTAGCATCCAAATTTTGAACCTAATGTGCAACTAATTGGTATTGAATGGTTTGCTTAAAATTGAAATGTAGGTGGATGAGGATGAAGTTCACTGGAGATGAAAGAAAGACCGTCTAGAGTTGGAATGGCCACACAATTCCACTCACCTCATATCACAGTTAGCTCAATGTTTTAGTGAGTAGATTTTCTTGATAAATTCTTTTAGCATTCCTAATTAGCATGGTTTTAGCTTTCAGCATTCAGTTTACAACTCATTGTTTAATATCTCTCTCTGATCAGCCTCGACTGATTGTAGCTAATGCTATGGTTGGACCACGATCATGGATAGAAGGGATCTTCAATCGCTTCGTCAAGCGCACTGAGAAGTTTCTTGATTACAATTTGAATCCTATTCAGGTAATTAATAATGTGAAGTTAGGACTGATAAATATTTAGGAACTCCGTTACAAGACGGATTACGATAGAAAATTATACTTTCTTGAGAAGAATTGAACTGGTTTTTGCCATCGTTTCTTGGGTATTCAGTTTAGTGATGTGCCAGGATAATTTTTTAGGGTGATTTGTGTTGATCTATCATGTATATGTACATATATATTACATATACATATAAACATCTTCATTCCATTCTCAGCCCTAGTAATAATAAAATTGATATATATATATATATATATATTACTAATTCTGATCAGTAACAAAGACTTCGAAGGCTTCAAGCACGACTACAAGTTCTCTTTGACGAGACTCATCCCGACCATCATGCACTTTCTTCATTCTTTTAACATCCATATTGTTTTCCATATTTTCTAACTATGAGCAAACATGGTTATACAGAGCTGAAATGCCATATAAATTAGAAGACTATTGATCTCATGATCCTTTGGTGTGACAGAAAGCTCTCATAAAATTGTGGAACATTGCCTTTCCCAATGTTGTTCTAACAGGCTTGATCTATGAACAGTGGAAAGAGATGGGGTGGCAAGGTGTTAATCCATCAACCGATTTTCGGTACGCTTCTGTCATTTTCGTTTTATGACTTTTTAACTTGCTATCTATACATAGAGGTATATAGGAGACTCGAAAAGGATGTGTAACAAATAGCATACCGTAATTTTATTTGTGTAAAACCGAACTTTATTTTGCATATTCTGAATTTGAGCTCAGTTTTAAGATGATCTTATATTTCTTTTTTTTTTTTCTGGATAAAGGTTGTAGATCTTATGTTTCTTGCATTTATTCTTGTTTACAGTATGGCATAAGCAGACCTTGAAACTCGGAGTTGATTACAATTCATTCAGTGCTACAAATAGGAGTTGCATAATTATTCAATTTTGTTTTAAACTATAACTATTTCATTGAGCAAGCACCTATGAATTTATGAGGGATGACACTTTTGATGACATTCCAGACCATGATTATATTAATGATTAACATTATTTGCCTAAGCAGTTTCATGCAGTTCTCTGACATATTATCTGCTCTTGGTCCATGGAAGGTGAATGAGTAAACTTATGTAATAAAAGATTAAAATTTTAAAGGGCCAAGCTGGATTTATTCAAAAAGTCGTCCTCTAATAGAACATAAGCAGTTGTATTAATTAGCGTAATTAATGTGATTAGTTAGGGGGAAAAACTTTAATTTTTTCATTATTTTCAAAAATAAAAAATAAATAAAATAAAAGAATTATCATTTCGCTCAGTTCCAATAAATTTTTTAAGACTAAATATGAGTGAATGATTCATTTATTAGTAAAATATTTTATCAACAATTAATTGATTAGTAAAATTAAGTGTTTGATCATTTAAATAATATTTAATATTTGGATCATTATATTATAAATGGAGTATATTTTTCTCATTTTTTGAGAAATAATGTATTATTGACCTGCAAAGAAGGATAAGAACGGTCTCTCATGAAAATTTTAAATTCTCATATATTTTATCTATTTTTATATAATTTTTATTAATAACTTATTTTCATCTCTTCTGAATTATTATAAGTTTGTCCCCTAAAATATTATATTTTGATCCCTAACATGAAATTATATATTTGATCTTGTTTATATTAAAGTTTATTTTTATCTAGTCGTCCAATAACTTATCCTTGTCCTCCAAAATGACCAAAACTCTTCATGGGACTTGGAAACTCAAGTCTGCTGAAGAAGGAGAAACAGCTGTTGCTGAGCAACAAGACTCTGTTTCTGTTCCTGTCTCTCCCTCTAACACTCTCAGAATGTACTTCCAGGTATGGGTTTTTGTTTTTCACTTTGCTACTTACATTATGAAAAAAGTTCAATTTGTTTTTCATTAACTAAAGGGGAATTGTCATTATCTTTGTCAAAGGGTTGCTTTAGATAATGCTGGATTTTGAATTTCTTTTTTGAGTTTTGCTTAGATGTTTATCTATTTGTTACTGAATTCTGGAAAAATGTATCATGTTTCATAGTAGTGCTTAAAGAATCTCCACTAGGGGTGCATCTTTCAATTACTTATTGCATATAATTTGAATTCTTGAAATTAGGCAGAAATTAGTTCCATTGACTAGTTTTTGCTTGAAATTGTATATTTGTCTGCAAATTTTTTCCCTTGGAACTATTCATTCATAGGTCACTGACAATCAATCTTGATTGTTTGAAGGCAGATGGAATGTTGAATGAAGCTGAAATTCCAAAGGTGAGTAAGGCATTAGAGGTATATAATAAACCTTTTGACTTTCAAGCAAATTATAGCAACATTTATGTTTTGCAGACAAAAATGATCATTTTGACAGGCAACTTGGTAGATTTATCTTCAGATTGAATGAAGGGGAGGAATTTAACTTCTTACTTCATCCGGTGTCCCGATCATAGTCCAGTGTTTCACTCGATCCCTTAGAAAATGGCTTCTTGCAGAGGAAAAGATTTCACACGGTTGCATTGTATTATCTCTCACCAAAAAGTAAAAGAGAAAAATCTATAATCATATTGTTGTTTAATTTTACTACTATGTTTCTGTCGATATTATTGATGGCAGGTTCTTTGATTTTGTTTAGAGTATATACTATAATTGAATCTGATGGGATGATTTATTTGTTTGTTGCAGGGAGCCGAAGGCGTTTCCAACTTGAAGGTTCAAGTCCTTGAGGGTATTGGTACTGTTGAGGTGAGTGTTCTTTTTGTTGTTGATTGATATATCTTGTATTTAAGCTTTCAAATCACTTGCCATGAGCACCTTTGATCTATCGGGTCATAAAACTCGAATTCATACTTGAACGAACAAAAATTAAACAAAACAATCAGTCTGTTCATGTCTTTATTACAAGACCCTTTGCTCTAGGACTCCTAACTTTGATCCATGGTTCATTCATCGAGTTTTCTACATTCTATTCATTCATAGAGTTTTCCCGTCTTTATTCCGTTCTTTCTCAGTTAACTAAACAGACGACGGTCCAAGCCACTGGAGTGGCATCCAATTTGGTGGAGCTCATACAGGGTGCATGATTCAAGTTACATACATTGAATTTGAGCTTCGATGATGAAGAAGACATTCTTGCGTAGATGTCGTATTTAGATTTTGAAAAACTTGTCGTTGAAGTTCTATGGCTCCTTTCTTTTGATTCATTATGGTTTATCTTTTCTTCTAGTAGTTTATGGTTTAGGTTAGGAAAAATCAATCTAATTTTTGTAACTGATGTCAGCTTTCTTGTGTGAATTTCAAGGTTTAATGCCTTTTATTCCTACGCATACTCACCCAAATTTTGTGGAGATGCTGGCAACAGGATCCATCTTGTAGACCCGAATTCGATGAAATTTCAAAAATGTTGGAAGACTTGGCCAGTAGATAGAGGGAGGTTGTAAGAGATCATCCTTTGCTTATGCTTTCCATTAAGAAATGTCCAATAACCTTGAAAATGGTTGCAGACAGAGAAAAATGGGAGGAGTTGCAGAAGTTGAATCTCCAAGAAAATTTGGAATGGCTTTTAGGGCAGGAATCCAGCCAAATGGCATTTGTAGCTTATATTATATGCATACTGATTTATTTTTCTTTCCATATGTGGACTTGAACTTAATATTTTCGAAGTAATGAATATATTTTAATGTTTATAAATTTTAATTTATTTTGTTGTTAAAATTTATGGTGGTTGTTATTTATATAAAGTTACATGATATTAAATTTAGGTGATGTATAGGAAGAATGTAATATACAAAATATCAATTAATTTTAGCTAAAGAATGGTAATTAGCGGCGTTTATATCCAAAAACGCTGCTATAGATCTGACCTTTTGCAGCGTTTGTGTCCAAAAACGCGCTATATATCTAACCTTTTGCGGTGTTTTTTCTCTCCAAAAACCCGCTATAGATCTTGACCTTTTGTGGCGTTTGTATCCAACAACACCACTATATATCTACCCTTTTGCGGCGTTTTTGCTAAAAACGTCGCTATATATCTCGACCTTTTGCGCGTTTGTTCCAAAAACGCCGCTATAGATCTTGACTTTTTGCGGCGTTTTTATATCACAAACGCCGTCAACATTAGCGGCACTGGTATGGACGGCGTTTTTACTATCGCCGCAAGTGCTTTTAGCGGCGCTTAAAAACGCCGCTATAGAACTAAAAAAATGCCGCTAAAACTATATTTTGCTGCAGTGTCGATAAATAATGCATTAAGATTAATGTGTAATTGTTTAATGTCAAAGTATTATCATTATTATACATATGTCAAAATCAATACATAAGTATATGTTAGAGAATAACATATTAGATTGACCCACTATGAATATGCATATTAGACTATTATGTGATAGTTACAACTTTACTCGTAACGATAATTATATATATAATCTTCAAATTTGCGATCATCATTATCTTAACATCATGAGTTGTATATATTGATATAGTCAAACTTTTGCCGTAACTAGTAGTACTATAAAGACTGAAGTTTGGTACCATAATCTATGTTGTGATATACGTTGATCAACATAGGATTGTCTCTCCTACATAATGAAAGTGTGCCTATTCTATATATTATTTGTGATATCTTAACATCATGAGTTGTACATATTGTGATATAGCTGATATGAAATATCATACTTATTTGTTTATCATAGTTTATTGGAGATATCAAGGAACATTAGATGGATTATACAATTGTTACTGTTGAATAATCGGGTAAAGAAAATATAAAGAACACAAGAATTTTAACAAGGTTCAACAATGTGCTTACGTCATCGGTGCCTTAGACAGCGCTAGAATTTTTTTAGGAAACATTCAATGTGGGTTGGGTTACCTTACTTCTTTAATAACTCGAAACATTCAACAAGTCCAAGCAATGCATGAACTTGTCTGTCATAACTGGCTTGGTGAACATATCAGCGGTATTCTCATCAGTATGTATATTCTAAAACAAAATCTCTCCAGATGCAACCAACTCTCTGATCTTGTGAAACCTTACATCAATATGCTTGGTTCTAGCACGATATACCTGATTCTTAGCCAAGTGAATAGTACTTTAATTGTTACAAAGCAACTGAATTCCACCTTGCTGAACACCCAACTCCTTCACTAAACCAGTAAGCCATAAAGCTTCTTTTGTAGCTTCAGCCGCTGCCATGTATTCAACTTCAGTTGTAGATAATGCCATAACAGATTGAACAATAGACTTCCAACAAATAGGCCCTCCACCAAGAGTAAAGACATACCATGTCGTAGATCTTCTAATATCTAATTCACTCGCATAGTCTGAATCCACATATCCTACAACCAAAGGATTATCCCGCTGACTACCAAAAATATTTCCATGTCCCACAGTACCCTTTAAGTACCTAAAGATCCACTTAACTGCTTCCCAATGTTGCTTACCAAGTTTAGACATGTACTTACAAACTTGACTAACTGCTTAAGCTAAATCAGAATTAGTACATACCATTGCATACATCAAGAAGCCAACAACATTAGAATATGGAACCTTTGCCATATCTTCAGCTTCCTTATATGTCTTAGAGCACTATTCTGATGAGAGCTTAAAGTGATTCACCAATGGAGAGCTCACTGGTTTTGCGCTGTTCATCGCAAACATTTCTAGCATTTTCTCAACATAACCCCTTTGATATAGCCACAGTTTCCTTGAGTCTCTGTCCCTGCAAATTTCCATTCCAAGAATTTTCTTTGCAGCACCTAAATCTTTCATATCAAATTCTTGACTCAATAAAGTTTTCAAAATGATAACATCGTCTATGTTTTTCATAGCAATTAACATATCATCAACGTACAACAACATAAAAAATAAAAGAACCATCGTAAAGGATCTTAACATAGACACAACAATCATACTCACATCGATTTCTTGGAGACTGTTTCAACCAGTACAAAGATTTCTTCAATCTGCAAACTAAATGCTCGTTTCCAGGTTGAGTGAAACCTTCAAGCTACTGCATGTAGATCTACTCCTCTAAATCACCATGCAAAAAAGTAGTTTTAACATCCATCTGCTCTAAATACAAATCCCAAATAGCCACCAATATAAGTACTGCTCGGATTGAAGTGTGCCAAACCATAGGAGAAAAAAATTCATCATAATCAACTCCTTTCTGCTATAAAAAACCCTTTGCTACCAAACGAGCCTTGAGCTTCTCCCCCTCTTTTTCTGTTACTTCTAGTTTCCTCTTATACACCTATTTGCAACCAATAGGCTTCTTACCCTCAGGAAGGTGAACTAACTCCCATGTACGATTGTGATTCAAAGACTCCATCTCCTCAACCATGGTAGCCATCCACTTGTCATTTTCCTGACTAGTAACAACATCATGAAAAGTAACCGGATCATCGCTGCTAACAGTAAGTGCAAAAGAGACCAAGTCTTCAAAACCCAATCTGTTCGGAGGCTTTATATTCATCCGTCTCACCCTGTCTCTGGCGAGATTGTAATCCTGCAAATCAACCATAGCGGAACCACCAGAAGTCGGTTGAGAAGTTTCTATTTTCTTAACTGGAAACTGCTCGAAATCCACCATTGTCGTGTCTTTCTTCTGCTGTAACATGGGTTGTTCATAAAAAACAACATCTCTATTAATCACAATTTTCTTCGCAACTGGATCCCATAACTTGAATCCTTTGACACCTTTTCAAGCCAATGATGCCCTTGGCGATCTATTGATAAGATAACACGCCATGTTAACAGCCTCAGCCCAAAAGTGTTTGGGAACCCCGCATTCAACCGCAAACATCTGGCTCTTTCATTCAACGACCTGTTCATCCGTTCTGCAATACCATTCTGTTGTGGTGTCTTGCGCACTGTACAATGTCTCTTAATCCCATACTCCTTACAGAAGTTTAGAAACTTTAAATGTAACACCCCAACCCGTATCCGACCCTGATCCAAGTTCGAGGTATCATATTGACTTTTCAAAACATTTACTTGTATAAAATAATAAGTAATTTATAACTTTTATAACATACAACTTATTCAAAATGTTTACAGAACTATTCGGAGCTTATACAATATATTCTTTTGAATACATGCCAACTAGAACTTTATATATTAAAATACATATTATTCACCTCTCTTCTGATCTGACCTTCAGTAAAGAGAACTGATCTGTCTTGCTCCACATCGCTCTTTACTCTTCTTGAAACCTACGTGTAAATCACTTACACGCTAAGTCTATGACTTAGTGAGGCATAAAAACTCATCTAATATAATTCACATACACTAACCATGCATGATAATTTATGATATCATAACCATGCAACTCATATACTTTTCATCCAGTAAGTACATACATACATACATACATACATACATACATACATACATACATACATACATACATACATACATACATACATACATACATACATACATACATACATACATACATACATACATACATACATACATACATACATACATACATACATACATACATACATACATACATACATACATACATACATACATATACATACATACATACATACATACATACATACATACATACATACATACATACATACATACATACATACATACATACATACATACATACATACATACATACATACATACATACATACATACATACATACATACATACATACATACATACATACATACATACATACATACATACATACATACATACATACATACATACATACATACATACATACATACATACATACATACATACATACATACATACATACATACATACATGTCATCATTTATGTTTCTATCATATTCCTACCCTATTATCATTCATATTTCTTATCTCTTATTCCTATAATCTCTTATGCTTTTATCATATATCTTATAATTCATACTTATCACAGATGCATTCACTTGTAACACACATATAAAAATTCCTACAATTCATATCACAAATTATATATAGTACTTACATTATATTCAGGATTATCTCTTTATTAGCCCATGTGCACATATGAGAACTATAGATATGTGAGTCTATTGAGGTTGTGCACTACGCTGTCACCACATCTCGTATAAATATCCCGAAGGACATATCCAAAGGTCATAAAGAACCTCGACAACTGTCCATAGGTCCTAAAGAACCTAGGTAAATTGTCCATATATTCCTTAAAACACATG